GGAATCTATTCAGCCGATCTCCGAGTCTGGCGATAGCACTTTTAGCATAGCTTAGCATAGATCATTGAATCCGATTAGACCAGTAGAATTTCGCTCAAAAATTATCAAAGATATTTTAGAACAGTAAATATCTTCTGAATCGTCTCTCACAAATGTCTCCATGGTTGCAAGGCACGCTCCTTGTGCAAGCAGGTTGTCATGTTGGTTCTGTTGACGGAAGTTAGCCTATTTTCAGGCGCTGCGCCCATGGTACGGCAGCAAAGTTCCTTGATTATTACGCCGGAATGAGAGTGTAGTTCCTAGTCATATCGGCCTTGAAAATCACAACTTTTCATTTTCCGTCGGTCTTAGTACACAATGTAACTACAGAAGAGTCAAGTTTTAAATAGGAAAAATATCGAAAATATCTTTGATCATTTTTGCGCGAAATGCTACTGGTCTAATCGGATTCAATGATCTATGCTAAAAGTGCTATCGCCAGACCCGGAGATCGGCTGAATAGATTCCAAAACGGTAAAACTCAACTGTTTAACTCTAGGGGAGTTGGAGAATGAGCCTATTTCCAAAAAAAAGTGGAGTGTTCCTTTAAGCTTAGTCAACAGTTTTGGAGATTTCTCAATCCGAGTTTGGGAACTGTACTCAACTCGCATACCTATGGAGCACGGTAGACTTCCAGAAGTGTTCCTTTGACCAGCAGATGTCCTCCGTGTGCGGGGTTTCAGTTCGCCCCAAACAGTGAGTCATTTTAAGATTGGTTCAATTGATTCGAAGCTTCAGAAAGCATATTTCTCCTATTACTAAATAAAAACAGCAACCAAGCAGCTCACCACAACAGCATTGTAAAACACAACCAACTCTTTCTAAAATGGTATGCTAGTTTTGCACTGTATTTATATGATTTATGACATTTTCATGTTTAGTTCTACAACATAATTTGTCATTCCTCAAACATGGATTTTGAAGTTGCTGTATGTTTAGGACGTAGGCTAAATTTAAATGTCTAAATATTTTACATTGTTTAATTACTATGAGCAATAAGTAATACAAACTGAAATAGCCTACTGTTTTGATCGTTTAGATGACATTTAGATGATGTCACAGTGGTTCTATTTGGATCACAAATCCTTCGTCCACAGAAATAAATAAAACTTTAACTTATTCCATGCTCATTAATGCTTAAAATTTCTCTATAACTTTCATATACATTAAAAAAGTATATTAAAAATATCCCCTATTGCCAGTTGACCTGAGCCAGGTCGCTTTACAAAACAGAAAACAGAGCGGTGTGGCTGAGTCGCACAACCACAGCACCGGAAGTAAAGTTACTGGAGAAGCCTATGCCGTGCCTCTTGCTAGAGTCAAGTTTCGACGTCTCAGTATCACAAATACAGAAGACTTGGCAGTTTTTCTGGTGGGATATGTTGAACTAGGTAGATTTAGAGTTTCTAATTTAATCAAATGAAATGGCAATATTTCTCATGCTTCTGTTCAGTTAAGCATAATTTTACCACAGATGAGCTCTTTTAAACCACATCTAAAGTTTCTGTGGTCAGAACAGCTAAACAGGAAGTTGCAGCCAACAAATCAAAATGTGTTTATTTAAATTAAAGAGAGACAAAGAGAGAGAGATAGTTTAAAAGAGTGTTAGGCGACAAGAGTGACCATTTTAGAGAATAACTTAAAATTAGATTCCATCTTATTTCCAGATGTGTGAATTCTGAGTGAGTATACTGTCGTGACTGTTAACCCGTTTTTTTTTTTTTTCAGATAAAGAAAAATGTTCAAACAATATTCAGATGTTTTATAGTGCCGTTTCCATAACCTATTTACATTTAGTCATTTAGCAGACGCTTTTATCCAAAGCGATTTGGAAAATGGAAGCAATCAAAATCAACAAAAGAGCAATGATATACAAGTGCTATAACAAGACTCAGTTAGCTTAACGCAGTACACGTAGCAAAATATATTAATAATAAAATATATATATAATATTAAAAATATATTAATAAAAAATTATAAATAATATAATAAAAAGAAAACAGATAGAATAGAAAAAGAATAGAGCAAGAGCAA